CCTCAGCCATGTGGAACTGAGAGTCAATTAAATCTCTTTCCTTTATAAATTACCCAGTCTCAGATATGTCTTCATTAGCAGTGTGAAAACAGACTAATATGTAGGACCTCCTTGGATTTTGGAGGCAACATATTACTCATATGGCTTTGTTTCTCTGGCCTATTTATGAAGCGACCTGAAAAGCTGCTAGTTTTGAGTGGGCTCCAGAATAAGAGAAGGCTCTGCAACAGCTCCAGGATGCTCTACAAGCTGCTCTGCCACTTGAGGCATATGATCCAGCAGATCCAATGACAGTGGTGCTTGAAATGACAGTGGCATTTAGGGATGTTGTTCGGAGCTCTTGGCAGGCCCCCATAGGTGAACCACAGCTCAGGCCCTTAGGATTTTAGAGCAAAGACTTGCCATCTCCTGCAGATAACCACTCTCCTACTGAGAACAGCTCTTGATCTGCTACTGGGTTTTAGTAGAAACAACACTTGACCATAGGCCACCAAGTTACCATGTGACCTGAGCTGCCCATCATGATCTGGGTGTTATCTGATCCAGCAAGCCATAAAGTTGGGTGTGCACACCAGTGCTCCATCACCAAATGGAAGTGGTAAATATATGATGGGGCCTGAGCAGGCCCTGAAGGCACAAGCTACATGAAGAAGTGGCCCAAATACTCATGGTTTCCACTCCTGATACACAGTCTTCTCTCTCCCAGTCTGCACCTGTGGCCTCATGGGGAGTTCCCAACAGTCAGCTGACAGAGGAAGAGAAGACTTGGGCCTGGTTTACAGATGGTTCTGCATGGTATGTAGGCACCACCCCAAAGTGGACAGCTGCAGCACTATCACCCCTTCCTAGGACATCCCTGAAGGACAGTGAAAGGAAATCCTCCCAGTGGGTAGAACTCCCAAGCAGTGCACCTAGTTGTTCACTTTGCTTGGAAGGAGAAAGGGATAGATATGCAATCATATACTGATTTGTGGGGTGTGACGAATGGTCTGGTTAGATGGTCAGGGACTTGGGAGGAACATGTTGGAAAACTAGTGACAAGGAAATCTGAGGAAAAGGTATATGGATAGACTTCCTTATGTGGGTCAAAAAAAGTGAAGATATTTATGTCCCATGTGAATCCTCACCAAAGGTGACCTCAGCAGAGGAGGATTTTAAGAGTCAAGTGGACAGAATAATCGTTTCTGTGAATACCAGTTAGCCTCTTTCCCCAGCTATCCCCTCATTGCCCAATGGGTTCATGAACAAAGTGGCCATCGTGCCAGGGATGGAGGTTATGCATGGGCTCAGCAACATGCACTCCCACTCATGAAAGCCAACCTATGACCACTGCTGAGTGTCTAATCTACCACCAGCAGAGACTATCCCTGAGTTTCCAATATGGCATAATTCCTGGGGAGATCTGTCAGCTATCTGGTTGATTACTCTGGATTGCTTCCATCAGTAAGGAAGCAATGTTTTGTCCTTACTGGAACAGACACTCTAGATACTGGTTTGCCTTCCATGCACACAAAGCTTCTGCCTAAACTACCATCCATGGTCTTACAGAATTCCTTATCCACCATCATAATATTCCATACAGCATTGCTTCTGGTTAAGGAACTAACTTCACAGCCAAAGAAGTGCAGCAATGGGCCCATGCTCATGGAATTCACTACTCTCACCATGTTCCCCACCATCCTGAAATAGCTGGCTTGAAAGAATGGTGGAATGGACTTTGGAAGACTCAGTTACAGTGCCAGCTAGGTTACAATATCTTGCAGGGCTAGGGTAAGATTCTCCAGAAGTCTCTATATACTCTGAATCTGTATCTAATATATGGTGTTGTTTCTCCCACAGCCAGGATTCACAGATCCATGAATCAATGGGTGGAAATCAATGGGTCCCCATCAACCCTGGTGACCCACTAGCAAAATTTCTCCTCCTGTTACAGAGACCTTTTGGTCTGCTAGCCTAGAGGTTTCAGTTCCAAAGGGAGGAATGCTTCCACCAGGAGACACGACGATTCAATTGAGCTAGAGTTTAAGGCAAAGAAGGGAGTTCTGGTGTTGGTTGGAGTGATTGATCCTGTCTACCAAGGGGAAACTGGACTACTACTCCACAATGGAGGGAAGGAAGAGTATTCTAGAATACAGGAAATCCTCTAGAGAATCTCTTAGTGTTACCATCCCTTATGACTAAGATCAATGGAAAATGACAACAACCCAATCTAGGCAGAACTACTAACAGATTTTACAGCAATGAAGGTTTGGGTTACCCTACCAGTAAAGAACTATGACTAGCTGAGTTGCTTGCTGAAGGTAAACAGAATATGGAATGGGTAGCGGAAGAAGGTAGTTATAAATATCAGTTATCATGTGACTAGTTATAGAAACAAGGGCTGCAATTGTCATATTTCCTCCTTATTTTGTTATGAATATATTTGTTTATATATATCAAATACTTATGTTTTCTTCCCTCTCTTATTCCCTTATCCCCTTATCATGTAACATAAGGTGTATTGGCTTTAAATAATAGTATTTAAGAATTGTTGGTCGGGCGCGGTGGCTCAAGCCTGTAATCCCAGCACTTTGGGAGGCCGAGACGGGCGGATCACGAGGTCAGGAGATCGAGACCATCCTGGCTAACACGGTGAAACCCCGTCTCTACTAAAAAATACAAAAAACTAGCCGGGCGCGGTGGCGGGCGCCTGTAGTCCCAGCTACTCGGGAGGCTGAGGCAGGAGAATGGCGTGAACCCGGGAGGCGGAGCTTGCAGTGAGCTGAGATCCGGCCACTGCACTCCAGCCTGGGCGACAGAGCCAGACTCTGTCTCAAAAAAAAAAAAAAAAAGAATTGTTAACTTTACATCATTGTATTTAAGTTACAGGATATCAAAGAAAAGAGTAAACATCAGTGAAGGACTCTACCTCTTTTGCTGGGGAAATGGTTAGTGTGCTTTCGGTTGTAGGCAGAATAGTTTTATCATGTTAGATGGAATTATGACCTTGTTATGGTCTTCATTTGACGATTAAATATGGTTTAAGGAGGTGTTATATGGGTGCCAAGTTCACAAGGCATGGATTTGTGATAGTTAATTATATGTGTCAACTTGGCTGGGTCTTGGGGTACCCAGATATTTGGTCAAACATTATTCTGGGGTTTCTTTGGGGATGCTCCTGGGTGATAGGAACATAGGAACATTTAAATTGGTAGACTGAGTAAAGCAGATTGCTCTCCCTGATGTGGGTGGGCCTCACCCAATCAGTTGAAGGCCTGAATAGAACAAAAAGGATTACCCTCCGCGAAGTAAGAGTGAATTCTCCTGCCTGCCTTCAAACTAGAATATCAGCGTTTTCTTCCCTTCAGACTTAAGCGGAAACATCAGCTCTTCCTGGGTCTTGAGTCTGCCAGCCTTTGAACTGGAACTACACCATTGGTACTCCTGGGTCTTCCTCCTGACAACTCACCTTGCAGATATTGGGACTTGTCAACCTACACAATCATGTGAGTTGACTCCCTACAATGAATCTTTGTTTGTCTGTCTTTCTCTCTCTCTAGCTCTCTCTCTCATATATATCCTATTGATTCTGTTTCCCTGGAGAACCCTAATACAGATTTTAAAATAAATATTTGTATAAACTAAATTTACATGTTAGGTTCTAAAAAATTACTATTATTTAGAGATGGGGTCTAGTTATATTGCCCGGGCTTGAGTACAATGGCTATTCATAGGCACAATCATTGTACGCCACAAACTCAAACTCCTGGGCTCAAGCAATCCTCTTGCCTCAGCCTCCTGAGTAACTGGGACTACAGGTGTGGGCCACCATGTTGGGCTCAAAAATTAATTTTGGCCAAGCATGGTGGCTTGTGCCTCTATCCCAGCACTTTGGGAGGCTGAGGCGGGAGGATTTCTTGAGGCCAGGAGTTCAAGACTAGCTCTGGCAACATAGAGAGACCCAGTATCTACCAAAAAGAAAAATTAATTTTAAATGTTAAAAATTAATGTTTTAAATGTTCAAAAATTTAAATTTTAATGCATTTAAAAATAAAACTTAAATGCATTAAGAGTGCTTTAAAATAAATTGCATTGAAACATTTTAAAAAACCCAGGTATAATCCTGAAATCTATAAATTCATCTATAGATCTATAGAACTTATAGATCTTGAAATCTATAAATTCACCTCACTCTACAATATGGATTAGAAGTACTTGAGACACAGAAAGACTAAGGCAGCTGCCTGGAGACTTGGATCCACTAAGTGGCTGAACTGAGATTTACATGGGAAAGATTAAATAGTAACTATTTTACATGAGAAAGATGAAAATTACATGAAATAAATTATGTAAGGGACACTGGCTGATATATGCATAACGGTCTACATATTTCAGAATAAAAACAGTATTCTTTAAAAAAAAACACCCAGGTGTAATAAATATTCTCCGGTGGTTAATAAAAAGTCTAAAAATTCACAAAGTATTACTTACACTCATGTATGGATTTTTTTTTTTCTTTTCTTTTGAGACAGAGTCTCACTCTATCACACAGGCTGGAGTACAGTGGTGCAATCTAGGCTGACTGCAACCTCTGCCTCCCAGGTTCAAGTCATTCTCCTGCCTCAGCCTACCGAGTAGCTGGGATTACAGGCATATACCACCATGCCCAGCTAATTTTTGTATTTTTAGTAGAGATGGGGTTTCACCACGTTGGCCAGGTTGGTCTCAAACTCCTGACCTCAGGTGATCCACTTGCCTCAGCCTCCCAAAGTGCTGGGATTACAGGCATGAGCCACCATGACCAGCCTAGACAGATTTTTTGTTTTTGAGACAGGGTCTGGTTCTGCTGCCCAGGCTGGAGTGCAGTGGCACAATCTCGGCTCACTGCAATCTCTGCCTCCTAGGCTCAAGCAATTCTCATGCCTCAGCCTCCTGGGTAGCTGGGACTACAGGCACGCACCACCATGCTTGGCTAATTTTTGAATTTTTAATAGAAATGGGGTTTCGCCATGTTGCCCAGGCTGGTCTCAAACTCCTGGCCTCAACTGATCCACCCACCTCGGCCTCACAAAGTGCTGAGATTACAGGCATAGCCACCGAGCCAAGGAATCAATTTAATTAAGTAATTCTCCTGTTATATGCTTTCTTTTTTTTTTTTAAAGGAAATAATTCAGAATGAATTTCCATCAAAAATCAGTATTTGGCTAATTGTTAACTTCAAAATCCAGTAATACACTCACTTGCTGCCACCAGCCCGTACATCATGTCCTCCCATGGCTCTGCTGCCCCGCTCCTCCACAGGTTGCAATGGAAGAAGAGATCGCCACGCTCGTCATTGACAATGGCTCTGGCATGTGCAAAGCTGGCTTTGCTGGGGATGGATGGCCCCGGAGCTGTGTTCACCTCCATCATCTCCATCATCAGGCACCCCCCTGCACCAGGGGGTGATGGTGGGCATGGGCCAGAAGGACTCCTACATGGGCCTCGAGGCCCAGAGCAAGCGCAACATCCTGACCCTGAAGTACCCTATCGAGCATGGCATCATCACCATCTGGGACGACATGGAGAAGATCTGGCACCACACCTTCTACAATGAGCTGTGCATGGCCCTAGAGAAGCACCCGGTGCTGCTGACCGAGGCCCCCCAAATCCCAAGGCCAACAGAGACAAGATGACTCAGATGTTTGAGACCTTGAACACCCCAGCCATGTATGTGGCCATCCAGGCTGTATTGTCCCTCTAAGCCTCTGGGCGCATCACTGGCATTGTCATAGACTCTGGAGACAGGGTCACCCACATGGTGCCCATCTACAAGGGCCATGCCCTTCCCCCATGCCATCCTGCGTCTGGATCTGGATGGCTGGGACCTGACCAACTACTTCATGGAGATCCTCACTGAGCTTCACCATCACGGCCAAGCAGGAGATTGTGCGCGACATCAACGAGAAGCTGTGCCACGTCGCCCTGGACTTCGAGCAGGAGATGGACACTGCCACATCCTCCTCCTCCTCCCTGGAGAAGAGCTACGAGCTGCCTGACGGCCAGGTCAGGTCATCACCATCGGCAACAAGTGGTTCTGGTGTCTGCAGGCACTGTTCCAGCCTTCCTTCTTGGGCATGGAATCCTGCAGCATCCACAAGACCACCTTCAACTCCATCATGAAGTATGACGTGGACATCCACAAAGACCTGTACGCCAACACAGTGCTGTCTGGCAGCACCACCATGTACCCTGGCATCACCGCCCTGGCATCCAGCACCATGAAGATCAAGATCATCATGCCCCCACAGCACAAGTACTCGGTGTAGATCGGTGGTTCCATCCTGGCCTCACTGTCCACCTTCTAGCAGATGTGGATTAGCAATTAGCTATGTATGACGAGTCTGGCCCCTCCATCGTCCACTGCAAATGCCTCTAAATGGACTGCAAGCAGATGTTCAGCGTTTGCTGCATGGGTTAATTCAGGAGTATAAATTTGCCCCTGGCAAATGCATAAACCTCATGCCAGCCTCACAAAACTGGAATAAGCCTTCAAAAAGAAATTTGTGGCCAGGTGTGGTGGCCCATGCCTGTGATCCCAGCACTTTGGGAGGCCTAGACGGGTGGATCACAAGGTCAGGAGTTTGAGACCGGCCTGGCCAACATGGTGAAACCCCGTCTCTCCTAAAAATACAAAAATTAGCCAGGCATGGTGGCATTCGTCTATAATCCCAGCTACTGGGGAGGCTGAGGCAGGAGAATCGCTTGAACCTGGGAGGCGGAGGTTGTGGTGAGCCGAGATTGCACCGCTGCACTCCAGCCTGGGCAACAGGAACAGGGTGAGACTCTGTCTCAAAAAAAACAAAAAACAAAAAACAAAAAACAAAAACAAACAAACAAAAAAACCACACACACACAAAGAAATTTGTCCTTGAAGCTTGTATCTGATATCAGCACTGCATTGTAGACTTGTTGCTGATTTTGACTTTCTATTCAAGTTATAATCAAGTTAACTGTTCCCCTTGGTATGTGTTTAATACCCTGTACACGTCTCTGATTTCAACCTTTAGTACATGTGGCTTGGCCACTTTGTGGCTGAGGTAAGAATGTGCTTGTGGAAGACAAGTCTGTGGCTTGGTGAGTCTGCGTGGCCAGCAGTCTCCAATATGTGCAGGGTATTAATGTGTCAGGGCTGAGTGTTCTGGGATTTCTCTAGAGGCTGGCAAGGGCTCCTGAACCAGTTGTTTCTGTCCTTCTGGTCTGTCCGAGTTGGAAAGTCCAAGCCATAGGACCCAGTTTCCTTTCTTAGCTGATGTTTTCCTGCAAGAACAGTTACTTGCCTTGAGTTGGAAGCGGTTTGGATTTACACCTGTAAATATATTCATCCTTTTAATTTATGTAAGGTTTTTTTGTACATAATTCTCAATTCTTTAAAGAGATGACAACAAATTTTGGTTTTCTACTGTTATGTGAGAACATTAGGCCCCAGCAACACGTCATTGTGTAAGGAAAAATAAAAGTGCTGCCGTTAAAAAAAAAATCCAATAATAGAGAGTGGGAGAAGGAGAAATTGGGGAGAGGGAGAGCAAGAAAGAATGAGGGACAGAGAGAAAGAAAAAAGGAAAGAGGAAGGGAGGAAGGGAAGATAAAAGAATGGGGTAAATAACAACTAAGAAAATGAAATCAGTTATGTTCCTTTAAAGCAGCGCCTAATAATAGATGCTGATTCTAATAATAAAAGATACAGCTTCCATGTTACCAGAAAAAATTGTGAAAAGGCAGATTGAATCTAATAAGTGTTTAAATACTACACATATGCACACCAACAAAGTATCTTGATGAGCAGGAGCAAGGCAAAAATCAGGTTAAGTCGAATGATTCCCACAGAAGGTCAGAGAAGTGCTGTATACTGCAGCCCCTCACAACTCCTCTCTGGTAGTAGGAACCACACACTAGATCTTGCACTGGACCAAGATGTTCAAAGAGGGAACTGTGTGAAACACCACACTGTTCAAATATAATTTCAAAATAATTTTATTTTACTTATTTGCTTTTGTTGCCCAGGCTAGAGTGCAATGGCGCAATCTCGGCTCCCTGCAACCTCCGGCTCCCGGGTTCAAGTGATTCTCCTGTCTCAGCTTCCTGAGTAGCTGGGATTATAGGCGTGCACCACCACGTCTGGCTAATTTTGTATTTTTAGTAGGGACGGGGCTTCATCATGTTGGTCAGGCTGGTCTCGAACTCCTAACCTCGAGTGATCCACCTGCCTCAGCCTCCCAAAGTGCTGGGATTACAGGCGTGAACCACCATGCCTGGCCTTCAAAATAATTTTAAACTGGAAAAACACAGTTGCAAATGTTAGAGATACTTTAAAAACATTTATAATTATTTAAAAAATTATAACTATTGATAACTCTCACCCCTGGAACTGAAATGCAGCACTGTAGGGTACCTGGGCACACAGGCTAGGAAACTAATGAGAGAAGACTTGTGCTTTTTTTGCCCTTGGAAACTTCTAATTTGGAGGGACATACATTTTGTTTTTGCCCTTTTTGTGCTTAATGCTGTGATGAACACCCTTGCATATGGCCCCTTATATATCTGTGTACTTCCCTGGGATTTATTGTACCCAGGAACAGAATTGTTGGGTCATACAGTAAATGCATTTACTGTTTTTTTTTTTTTTTTTTTTTGGAGACAGAGTCTCACTCCGTTACCTAGGCTGGAGGGCAGTGGTGTGATCTTGGCTCACTGCAACCTCTGCCTCCCGGGTTCAAGCGATTCTCCTGCCTCAGCCTCCTGAGTAGCTGGGATTACAGGCATGCACCACCACATCCAGCTAATTTTTGTATTTTTGGTAGGGACAGGGTTTCGCCATGATGGCCAGGCTGGTCTGGAACTCCTGAGTGACCTCAGGCTCTCCACTTGCCTCAGCCTCCCAAAGTGCTGGGATTGCAGGCGTGAGTCACCGCACCTGGCCCAGTAAATGCATATCTAATTTGACAAGGTACTTCCAGACAGCTCTTCGGAATAGCTGCCCTAGTCCACACTCCCATTAGCCATGCAGGAGGGTTTGTAGGTCCTTACACCCCCACCGCCACTTGGCATTACCCTGCTTCTTAAATTTGTCGGGCTGATAAAGTGATACCTCACTGTTATTTTAATTCTTCAGATTTGCAAAGATCTTGAACACCTCATCATATACTGCTGGCTTTTCAAATTTCTTCCTCTGCAAATTGCTTGTGTGCTTTGGCTAATTTTCTATTGGCATTGCTGTCTTCTTCTCCTTCTTTCTTCTTCTTTCTTCCTTCTTCTTTTGTCCTTCCCCTTCCTTCTTCCCCTTCCTCATCCCCCTCCTTCCTCCTTCCTCCTCCTCCTTCTTCCTCCTTCTTCTTTTGTTTTGTTTTTACAAACAGGGTCTCGCCTGTCACCCAGGCTGGAGTGCAGTGGCATGACCACAGCTCACTGTAACCTCAAACTCCTGGGCTCGTGTGATCCTCCCGCCTCAGCCTCCCAAGTAGCTAGGATGACTGGCGTGTGCCACCACAACCAGGTAATAAAAAAAATTTTTTTTTTTCTAGAGACAGGGTCATGTTGTATTGTCTGGCTGGTCTCAAACTCCTGGCCTCAAGCAATCCTCCTGCTTCGGTCTCCCAAAGTACTGGGATTATAGGTGTAAATCATTACACCCAACCTCTCTTCTTACTGATTCACAGGAAATCTTTTTATATTCTAGGTATCAAATCCCTTGTTGGTTTATACATTGCAAATATCCTCTCCCAATCTGCATATTATCTCTTACTTTTGTCCATAGTGTCTTTTATTGAGCATAAATCCTTAATTTTGCTATAATCCAATCATCTCTTCAGCATATGGGTTATAGTCTTAAAATTTTGTCCAAGCCCCTAGGTCACAGACATCTCCCTACAATTTCTATTAACATTACAGTTTTATTTTCACATTGAGGTCCTCAATCTACCTAGAATCCTTTTTTTTTTTTTTTTTTGAGATGGAGTCTCGCTCTGTCACCCAGGCTGGAGTACAGTGGCACGATCCTGGCTCACTGCAATCTCTGCCTTCTGAGTTCAAGCACTTCTTCTGCCTCAGCCTCCTGAGTAGCTGGGACTACAGGCACATGCCACCACATTCACCTAATTTTTTGTATTTTTAGTAGACATGGTGTTTCACCATGTCTGGTTGACCAGGCCAGTCTCGAACTCCTGACCTCAAGTGATCCGCCCACCATGACCTCCCAAAGTGGTGGGATTACAGGCGTTGAACACCATGCCCGTCCCCTAGAATACATTTTTGTACATGTCATGAGGAAGGGATCCAGTTTTATTATTCTCTGTCATGAGCCAGTTTTCTCAACACCTTTAACTAAGCAACTGTCCTTTCTCCCTTGATTTGTTATACATTAGGTTTTTACATACACGTGTCTGTATCTATGCTGTTGTATTGGTCTACTTTTCTGTTTCTGTGCCAATGGCACATTGTTTATATTTCTAAATTCAAAGAAACAAAGGCCGGACGGGGTGAGTCACGCCTGTAATCCCAGCACTTTGGGAGGCTGAGGCGGGCAGATCACCTGAGGTCGGGAGTTCAAGACCAGTCTGACCAACATGGAGAAACTCCATCTCTACTAAAAATACAAAATTACCTGGGCATCCCAGCTATGGGTTCAAGTGATACTCCTGCCTCGGCCTCCCGAGTAGCTGGGATTACAGGCATGCACCACCATGCCTGGCTAATTTTTGTATTTTTGGTAGAGACGGAGTTTCTCCATGTTGGTCAGGCTGGTCTCTAACTCCTGACCTCAGGTGATCCACCCACCTCGACCTCCCAAAGTGCTGGGATCCCAGCTATTCAGGAGGCTGAGGCAGGAGAATCACTTGAACCCAGGAGGCGGAGGTTGTGGTTAGCCGAGATCGTGCCATTGCACTCCGGCCTGGGCAACAAGAGTGAAACTCCGTCTCAAAAAAATAAATAAATAAAAATAAATTCAAAGAAGAAAGAAATAAGGCAGAAATAAAATAGAGAACAAAAGACAGCAGTGAAAATCAAGCAAACCAAAGTAGATTCTTTGAAAAGACTAATAAGAGAGACAGACTTCTGGCCAGTGATCAAGAAAAAAACAGAAAATTAAAAAACCAAGATACAGGCCAGGCACGGTGGCTCACGCCTATAATTCCAGCACTTTGGGAGGTCGAGGTGGGTGGATCACCTGAGGTCGGGAGTTAGAGACCAGCCTGACCAACATGGAGAAACCCTGTCTCTACCCAAAATACAAAAATTAGCCAGGCATGGTGGCGCATGCCTGTAATGCCAGCTACTCGGGAGGCCGAGGCAGGAGTATCACTTGAACCCATGAGGCGGAGGTTGCGGTGAGCCAAGATCATGCCATTGCACTCCAGCCTGGGCAACAAGAGCGAAACTCTGTCAAAAAACAAACAAACAAACAAACACCAAAATATAGAATGATAAGGGGGACAATAATAGGGAAAAATATATATATATATTTTTTGAGACGGAGTTTCTCTCTTGTTGCCCAGGCTGGAGTGCAATGGTGCGATCTTAGCTCACCGCAACCTCCACCTCCAGGGTTCAAGCGATTCTCCTGCCTCAGCCTCCTGG